CTTTTTCCCTCAATGGCTTTGTCTGCGATTTCTCACAGTTTACCGACGATGGTTGAGCCTATTTCGAAAGCCATACTGCATATTAGAGAGGCCGATGGTTTCGGCAAGGGCACCCTCTAGTCGGGAGTTGATTATTCTTTCAAGAATTTTGCCCACTGTATCCAGCATACAGAGTGGCCTATACGAAGAAGGTTCCTCCACCGGCTTGTCCCCCTTTGGTATGAGTACAAACCGCTGTGTTTTTCAGCGTACTCTTTTTTATTTGCCCTAGTTGCAATTTTGTGGCATTCTTTCCTGACTTCCGCAATGTCTTTATTTTCCTCTTTTTCTGCATAGATGGGTCGCAGACGCCTGGTGTAGTCTGCTATGTTGTTTGCTCTTACTTCAGCCGAGCCGCTTGTAGAGAGGTCCTCGAACAACATATGTACCATCTCCATGTCTAGCGTCTCCATTTTGTACCCTGACTTTGGAACTCGTGGTGGGCTATTTGTAGACTTTATCGTGCAAATGATTGCTGCATGGTCACTACCCATGTAGAGGTCACTAACCTCCCAGCTGGAGACCGGGGCTAATCCAGCGCTCACAATTGGGAGGTCAGTGATGGAATTGGTACCGGCTAGAGAAATTCAATTTCAGTCCAGAGTTTATCAGTACTAGGTCTAGGGCGGCGAAGCTCTCAAGCAGCTCCTTTATCCTCGCATTGGTCCGGAGTGGTCCCCACTCCGTAGCCCATGCTTTAAAATCACGGGCAATTACGGTAGGAAGATTTCCCCAGGCGTCTTCTGCAATCGCTTCGAGCACAGTTATTCCCTGGGGAGGCTAAGGCTTGGGGCAGGTAGCAGCTGTAGAAAACTATACCATTCACATGAGCCCTGGCGAAGCAGTTTCTGCTTTTTTATGCGAGTGTGGGTATCCGTTGATGTGTGTCTGCCCGTGTGTAGATTAGAGTCCAAAAAGTGCAGTGAAACAGAATCTTGTTCTGTGTTTACCAAAGTTTCAAATAAGTGACGAGCGTGCAAGCTCGTTACAGTTACAGTAAAGTGGATCTTATGTACATATACAATTCGGGTTATGAATTTAGGATTCTTCAACAATATAAATTATATGTCGTGCTCCAACAATGAATAAAGTTTACACCCATATTCTCTAAGCATCAAGCATTAAAGGTCTAAACCTTATCACAACCAAAACTAAGAAGATTCTCAAATCCAACATTAAAAGAAGAATAAAAAATCAAAAAGCCTAACCTATTCAGAGAAAAAACAAGAGGAAACGCTATAGTCGAGTGCCACGACTATAAGATACTGTTTTACAAAATTTTAAAATATTATTTTGCTAGTGGAAATTCACAAGGCGCCACCTATTGTCAGAGGACGTATGTTGAGTATGCATATAGTGACGTTACTGGCCATGTGAGGCCTTATAACCTTAATTTCTTCATAAATAGGGAAATAATGTTCCGATTTAAAAAAATCTTTGGTAAATCGATAGATATTAATAGAAATAAGTGACGCAAGGTCAAACGAAGGCATTCATAATATTATTATAGACGCCATAGTTTTCCGCGGTTTGTGGTCGTTAGAGTTGGCGTGGCCGGATGCTACTTAGTCGCAAGTTCAAAAGGCATATCTTTAATACGTGTTTCTAATCAAAATTATGTAGCTCTTATAGTTTTTGAGATTTTTGCATTTTTGATTTTTCGTGTTTTGTGGGCGTTAGAGTGGGCATGGCTTGATCGAAAAAAAACAATTCGCATTGGGAGCATCATAAAAACTCTTATAGTTACCGAGATATCAGCTTTTCTAGAAAATCCGAAAACCGTCTTTTGAGCCTTGTGGACGTATGGGTGGGTGTGGCCGGATAGTAAAACCACTTTAAGATGCGCTGACATCTAAAGATTCTAAGTTCTGAATTTCAACTTTCTAGCTCCAATAGTTCCTGAGACTTCAGCAATTTTATTTTTTGCGATTTGTGAGTTTGAGTGGGCGTGGCAGGATGCTGTAATAAGCTTGCGCTGTCCCGGGACCTCAAGAATCTTCATGATTAATCTCAACTTTGTATCTGTTACAGTTCCTGAGATCTCAGCGTTCATACGGACGGACGGACGGCCAGACGGACATGGCTCAATCGTCCTGATCAAGAATATATATATACTTTATAGGGTCGAAAACGCTTACTTCTATCTGTTACATACTTTTCAACGAATCTAGTATACCCTTTTACTCTACGAGTAACGGGTATAATAAATACATTTCGCGGTAAGGTAGTCAGTTAAATCTCAATGTTCAGTCAGTTTGAATTAGGCTTCTCTAGGGTGCTCTTTGGTTCAGTATTGTATTTGCCATTTACGCTATGGTTGTAATTGGCCACACTGTTGTTTGTGGTATAAAGCAGATATATAAATTTTTTGTTTTCCCTTTCCGTCTCATTCCTTTGCCAACAGCAATATAATTTTTTCTGGTTTTCTTTTTGGAACATCTTTGAACACTTACACTGAAAATCATTCTTTGTAACTTCTGTTTGCTATGTAGAGCTTATTTCGGGTCATTAAAATAAGTGATGAATTGGTTAGCAAAAAAAATGTTTTCTTTCTCTTAGTGCACAGATGCAAACCAGCACAAAAAACGTCACTAAACTAAGACGATTTTGAGCCCCTCTGGTCTAAAGCGCCAACTCTCGGGATTTAACATATCATGAGCACTGTTCAGGCGGAAACCGCAGGACAGCCTATGGACTCCACGACTACACAGATTGCAACGTTCATGAAAAGGATCAAATATCTGGAGGAGGAGCTTCTACAGGGTGGCAGCCAGGAATCGGTGTAAGCAGTGCGGCGAATACAACGTTGAGGCAGTTCTTCAGTAAAAATCTACAATGAGCTTACCGCAATATTTGATCGGTTATGCGGCTATTGGGCAGCAAGTCCCACGAAGTACGGGCCGTACAAATGTAAGGCACTCACTGCTATGTTGTATCAAAACCGCGGTGCAGTTAGAACTACAAGTTGTATTTTTTGTTTCGAAGAAACGCAGAGTGTGAAAGGCAACTCCCGGGACTTAGACCGGCGTCAATAAATATATATATGTATAATAAAAGAAAACCAGAAGAAACTCGACTGCCGCGACTATAATATACTTGTTACTGTTTTATATAATTTCCAAATATTAATTTTGCTAGTAGAAATGGACAAAGGGCCACCTTTTGTCAAAAAAGCATGTTAACTAAATGATAATGACATCATTTAAATTTCTTTATAAATAGCGAACTCTTGTTCCGATTTTAAAAACCTGTGGTAAATCGGTAGATAATAATAAAAACCAAAACCAAAAACTTAACATTTTTATATACATATACACACAGTGGCTCGCAGCTTATTTCGTGCAGTTACCTAAAAAAAAGTTCTGGTCGTTATTCCTGCATAACTAAAAAGATAACATAAAACAAGAGGATACGCTATTGTCGTATGCCGTGACTATAAGATACCCGTTACTGTTTTACACAATTTTAAAATATTCATTTTGCTAGTGGAAATTCATAAGATGCCGCCTATTGTCAGAGAAAGCATGTTGAGTAATTGATAGTGACGTCACAAACCATGTGAGGCCTAATAACCCAAATTTCTTCATAACTAGCCAAATTATTTTTTGAGACTTCAAAAATCTTTGGTAAATCGATAGATATTAACAAAAATAAGTTATACAAGGCCAAACGAAGGCATTGATAATAATATTATAGACGCCACAGTTTCCCGCGGTTTGTGGGCGTTAGAGCGGGCGTGGCCGGATGAAACCTCGTGGCAAGTTTCAGTGGCATCTCTTAAATACGGGTTTTGTGGGCATTAGAGTGGGTATGGCTTGATCGGAAAAAACAATTCGCATTGGGAGCATCATAAAACCTACACGTTTAACTTTCTGTCACTTATAGTTACCAAGATATCAGCTTTTCTAGAAAATGCGAAAACCGTGTTTCGAGCTTGGTGGGCGTATGGGTGGTTGTAGCCGGATAATACTACCACTATAAGATGCGCTGGCATTTAAAGAGTATACAAACTGAATTTCAACGTTCTTGCTCTAATAGTTCCTTAGATTTTAGCGATTTTAGTTTTTCGCGATTTTTGGGATGCTGTTATAAGCTTGCGCCGCTTAGGGACCTCAAGAATCTTCATGGTTAATCTCAACTTTGTATCTCTTATAGTTCCTGAGATCTCAGCGTTCATATGAACAGACGGACGGACGGACAGACGGACATGGCTCAATCGACTTCGCTATTGATCCTGATCAGGAATATATATACTTTATAGGGTCGGAAACGCTTCCTTCTACCTGTTACATACTTTTCAACGAATCTAGTATATCCTTTTAGTCTACGAGTAACGGGTATAAACATAACATAATCCCTGCAGGCCCCCAGGTTAGGGGTTTCCTTAATTTTTGGCCATTTTCAATTTCACCAGGACAACAATCCTAAGCATTCAGCAGGCAGTATTTTGAAGACTTGGGTTATCTGGAACTGCCCCCATGTCGTTAAATGTGATCGAAAATGTGTGGGAGATATTGGCTGTATGGAAGAGGAAGATTTCGAACAATAAACGATCAAAGCTGTCCCGAAGCAGAAAGGCGGACATAAAAAATGTTTGCCGTTAAATAACAAATAATAAGTTTAGTATAATCTGCAAAGAATAAGCTGCGTCATGGGAAAAGCCTGTACATTTAGTTTTTATTAAATAATTCTTTTGTTTTTATAATTAAGAAAATTGCGTTCGTTCAATAAACATGTTAATGTTCCCCTTAAATTTATCTGATATCTTTTTTAGTTTAGTAGGACACTGGAACTTTTTTAGGTAACAGCACGAAATAAGCTGTGAGCCACTGTATGTACAAGTTTTCTATGAAAAAGGTGTTAAATATTTTTAACTCTACGCAAACATTACACTCAAACTCCTCGATAACATTAAATTTACTTTGAAATTTTTGTAAGGTTGAAGTGAAGGCGGATAAACTTAAAGAAAACCAGATTCTTCTAACACACCCGTTTTGTTTGCTTTTCTCTAGCTTTGTGGGCCTTCGAATATGTTTCTTCGTATATTTCCGTAAGGCCGACATTTTGATATACATATGTACAGTGTAAAGTATAAGTACCTACATAAGCATCTAATCATTCGCTTCAGTAAGTCAGTTCAATATAAAAAAACGTTCAGTTGTATACAAACATATAAATTCATACACATGCATGTGCATACATGTATACATGTGCACACAACCAATACTTCCAAAAATATGACGTTAGCATATCCAAACTCAGTTGATTTCGAGTTCTCTTTGCGGATAGTTTTATATACATATATGACTTTATTTAATTTTGCTATTATCTTATAATTTACATATTTCAGTTAGTGGCTTAGAAGATTAATTGTGTTTACAATGTATTAATTAGTTTTGAATGACTCATATGTATGTCATATACATACATACGTACATATGTGTACATACATACATATGTGCTAAAAGAGTAGACAGTGATCTGTAGCTTATTTCGCTCAATTCAGAAGTGGTCATGCAGGCACTGTGCACGATAATTAAACATATGTACATATAAATACAATTTTTTTTTAAATCATTTCACTAACATGTTTAATCAACGAAAACTATTTTTCAATTTACAAAAAGGAAACAGAATATAAAAATTACAATGTAATTGCTTAAGGTACATTTATCTATTACATACACACATTTGTATTTTAATTTTAAAATTAATGCAGGCACTGTGCACGATAATTAATCATATGTATAAAGACAATTTTTTTAAATCATTTCACTAGAATGTTTAATCAACGAAAACTATTTTTTAATTTACAAAAGGAAACAGAATATAAAATTAAAATGTAATTGCTTAAGGTACATTTATCTATTACATACACACATTTATATTTTAATTTTAAAATTAAAAATTGTAGTCGTAATTTGTATAGTCTTTTTTGTTTAAGGAATAAGTCCAATAGATATTCAATTGAAAAATCGTTCGTTTTTCCTTATAACTTGTGTTTTCATTTTGTGTTTATTTCGCATTTTCGGTTTTGAGTACAATAAGCGAATTCGTTAGCAAAAAAACAATTTATCTTTCTCTCAAAGCACAGCTACAATCCAACACAAAAAGTCACTAAATATTTGCTCCTTTTTCGTAAGACGAATTTGAACACCCCTGAATTAGGCCATGAATAATTATTAGGTTACTCAATTCCTAAAAGACCCACCAAAGTGAATGTTGCCCTGCCGCTTAACTTATCTTGGTCTCTTTGAACCGAAAAGCTTTAACCCCCACACTGGACTCATTAGCAAGAGGAATGGTTGATTAATGTGCTCCTTTGAACATGGTTCATAAACAAATGGTTTCCGAACTTCCACCCTAGTTTTCTTGCCCATTCCGTGCTCGATATCTATGGAAAATTTGATTAAATGAAAATGCTCATAAACTCTTGTTTTATTTTGTTCTTTTCTATATAAAAATTGTTTTTTCATTGAAAAAAAATAAGAATTGTATTTCAATAAAATTCAGAAGTGTACATTCAAAAAACTATGCAACAAATTAAGACCATTTTTTAAAAACACTAACATATTAATATTTAACCAATGAAAGCCAGTATGTATGCATATCGTACATCTTACATATATTTTTTAATTTTAAAATTAAAAATGTTAGTCCTTTTGTATGGCCTCTTTTGTTTTTAGATTAATTCTAATAGATCAATACTTTATTTTTGTTCTCTTCTATATAAAATTTGTAAGTTTCATTAAAAAAATAAGAATTGTGTTTTATTAAACTGCATTTAAGATTTTTTATATATTGAGATAAGATGTAAACTTGCAATTTGTAACAAAATAATCCGAAAATTGAAAGTATGTATTCTGTAACTTAAGTCTCGTAAACCACCTATTTGAAATTAACGGCGTTCGTCGTCTATACAGACAAAAACAAAAAATAATATTTCAAAATTGTGTAAGACAGTAACGAGTATCTTATAGCCGCATTTAGCTTTTCTTCAATTTTTATACCCCGTTACTCGTAGAGTAAAAGGGTATATTAGATTCGTTAAAAACTATGTGACAGGTAGGAAGGAAGCGTTTCCGACCCTTTGTAAAGTATATATATTTTTGATTAGTATCAATAACGAAGACGATTGAGTCATGTCCGTCTGTCCGTCCCGTCTGTTCATATGAACGTTGAGATCTCAGGAACTATAAGAGATACAAGATTGATATTAAGCATGAATATGAGTCCATACGGCTACACTCAACGCCTACAAATCGCAAAAAGCTAAAATCGCTGTGAAATCTCAGGAACTATTAGAGCTAGAAAATTGAAATTTATATGGCAGCGGATCTTATAGTGGTACTATTATCCGGCCACACCACTCATACGCACACAAGGCTAAATAAGGTTTTCACAAAAATAATTTGCCACTCCAAGGTTCAGCAAGCGGAAAACTGTGGCGTCTATAATATTACTATAAATGCCTTCGTTTGACCTTGATTATAACTTATTACTGTTAATATCTATCGATTTGACAAAGATTTTTAAATCGGAACATTTTTTTGCTATTTATGAAGCAATTTAGGTTATAAGGCCTCATGGGCAGTGATGTCACTATCAGTTACCCAACATACTTTCTCGACAATAGGGGGGCCCTGTGAATTTCCACTACAAAATGAATATTTTAAAAATGTGTAAAACAGTAACGGGTATCTTATAGTCGCGGCACTGGACTATAGCGTTTCCCCTTTTTTTTTTTTATTTTTGGCACTATCATACGTCTTATGAAAGATATTTTGAGCAAAACTGATTTCTCCGTATATTTGTCCCCTATTGGCTACCAACTTGCTATGGATTAAGATATTGTTTTAAAAAAGTGGTTTATGGTGGTTTATTAAGAAAACTATAATCCCTTCAAATTATATTCAATTTCTTGTGAATGAACTTATGATATACACTGTACACTGTTCAGTTACTTCTATTCTGTTGAAATAGTTTCATCAATGGCATGGATTTTTCTTTTTCATTTTGATATAAGAAATCAATAACGATAATGGAAACCTTCATATTAATTTCAAATTATATCAAAAATGGTTGTGAACCCCGATCTATTGAGATCTTGGATACATTTCTATATAGGTGACTATTCTGATATGTATTAAAATCACCATTAGCTTACCATCGTATGAGTATGTTCAGATCGTCTCACGATTTGCCGATAGTTTTACGTGCCATCGATTAAAGTCAAATGTATTTCATATAAAGTGCTTTGCAGCGGCTTGTTGGAGCTTCATGATTAAGTATTGCCATAAGTCGATTACAACACTGTAATTAATAACATTCAGCTTTCAAATAGTCTCATCAGTCCTTAACTCACAAGGCAATATATAACATGTACTAAACATTTGGTGCTAATAATATATTTAATATTCTTTAACAATTTATTAAAAAAATAAACAAAAAAAATCAAAAGTTTAGTTTTATTTTATAGCTGCCAGTATACGTTGGATACTGTTACTGTTTCGCAAAGTGGCATCTCTCTATAACACGTATGTTAAGCTCTTAGCTCTTCTTAGCTCTTTCACTAGTGCCTTATTGCTGAGCATGTGGCTCCCTCTGTAAGCTTTTGAAAATGGCTTATTTTTCACATTTTTTATCATCTTAGGACAATAGCAACCAACTTTTTTATCACTTTAATCCATAATCCATTAGCTCAATTCCTAATTTCACAACTATATTCTACCTATCTGCAGCGTCCATTATCCCCATAATGGCGCTATGACTTCGACGTCTCCCATCTGATCTAAGTAAATGGTGTTGTTCAATTTTGTAATTGACCACTTTTATTGACCTTTGCAGCGAAACTTGCATTAGGCTAGCAGACAATTTTTTTCTATCATTGGCCATCTAGCGGTATTCTACTTTGAAGTACAAACAACAATTTTAGCAGGACACTCCACTAAACTCAGTGATAATCTTTTTGTGATTGGCTAAGATTTGTGCCGCCTCTAATGAAATAATGATGAATTAAATTAATGATGATATTAAAGCCGTTTCTCGTAAAAGTAAAATGGTATATGTATTTGTTGAAGAGTATATAACAGGTAGAAGGAGTCGTGTTCTACCCTATTCAGCATGTATATTCGATAAAGCAATGTCCGAATGAACGCTGAGATAACAGGAACTGTAAGAGATACAATGTAGAGACTAAACATGCAGATTTTGAGATGCATGCGTAGCGCAAGTTTATTTCGGCGTTGCGTCAGCGCCCAACTAATTAGGAAAAACTAAAATCGATGAGATCTCAGAAATATCAGAGATCGAACGTATGTATTTTTGTGTGTTAAAATTAAGTTCCAATAGATAATATTTATTATGTGTAATTACAGACGGGAAAGATACCTTGGTTTATATTATGAATTCTAGAAATTGCCTACCAAATGCGAGAATCCTTTTCTTTCAATATATTTAAAATTACTTCATTCTCTTGATTTAAAGTCGCTTATTGACACAAAATAATTTTTATCAATATGTTCAACATTTGCATGGGGTATTTTGTGTAGCATAAAACTTGATAGAGTTGAAGAGTTCTTTCCTATATGTTCTAGTAAAGCATTACAAATGATTTTGTACATATAACCTGTATTATAGAGAATCTAGTCTTTAAATTACAGCAAATCTTGTTCGGAATGTTTTTATACTGGGTGCGGTTCCTTTAATTTTAATCGTTCTAATCATATTAAGTGCCCTGAGAAGTACCCAGATATCATTGATAGTAATACTGTTGCTCCTTGGGTGTTTTAGGCTTGTTATTCGTACCCTGTAATGTTGGTGTTAAATTTAAGTGTTATTTCTAAGAAAGAAACTGGAAATGGTGAGATAAGATCGATAAAAAAACCTGAGAAATAAAAATTAATCTATAACTGCATATTTTAACCATATTTCCATACATTTATTCTAGTGTGAATGATAAACTTGGCCATTGCAAATAAAAAAAAAGATTTGTGCCATATGATTTCCACAAACTTTTATAATATCTATATGAAGCTAGAATGAAAAGCAACGCTAATAACAGCAAACTCATCTGGTCAGGAATATTCCGAATTTCTAAGAGAATATTTACTGCAAAATAGTTCACAAAATAACGAACCAAGTTTCTTACGAAGGTTAGTACTATTAGCATTTTGGATATATGAATTTTAATTTTTTTTTTTTAGATGGGGAAATGGAAGCAGAATGGTTGGTTTTCCGCCGGATATCAGCAGAATAACAAAACCTTTTGAAAAAGCAAGCATGTTGTCTAATAAATTATTGCAGGTTAAAATTGGTTAGAAAAGATGAGTGGTCTTGGATAAATACAACGAGATTTAATGACTTTTCTTTTCTGTTACAAAGTCTATTGAGTACTGAAGTGTGTGTTTTATGCCAATGCAACGGCATTGCCAACAAGATGGAAAATTGGGTATATTAGAGGATGCGCATTTACGCTTAGATAGTCGAAATTGTAAACCGTTTACGAAAATCCGGACCCCCGTAAAAAACACAGTTTCTGAACGAGCCAATACTGCAACCTTCGTGATGAGTCTGGGCACTTTCCTGTTGGCGTCCTCATTTTGAAGGCTCGTAACCAATATCGTTATTTACTGGATAGGTCTCTCCAACAATTCGTGCAAATGCCAAGATCCTAGTGGTGTACTCGACTCCCTTAACTAAAAAACATAATCGACCAATATGTAGGTATGTGACAGATAGTGCGGTTCCGATATACGATGTGTAGAATAAGGGACGCGATTTGATTACTGCGCTGATCTCATCTCTTCAAAAGGTGAGCGTTGAGTTTCAATGAATATACCAAGATGCCGTTTTACACAGCTAACTGCTGACTCCCACTTCCCTCCCCAGAGAGGGGGTCTCGGAGAATGATATCCATTGAATTCTATCATTTGTCATGACTGGCCAGTGCACGAGTCATCGATCGATCGTTTAGCTCAATGAAGTTTGTACCTTTGTCGAGATTTCTGGACCACGCCGGGTGCCAGAGGGGCCGCCTTTTTGTCTTCCCAAAATAAGTGCGTTTGTGTTGAATTGTACACGCCAGTTCCAATACCTTGAATTCGTGAATACATCGAGATGCCGATGAGTCGATATGTTACCTTTCAGAGAATAATGATCTTGCCAAAAGAACGTGGGCTTGGACAAGCTCAGTCCCGGCTAAAAATGCGAGACTTGATGTGAAGCCATGCAGCGATCCTCATCAATGTCTGCTTTTTACTGAAGATATTCTAGTTATCAAGATGTTTGATGCGGAATGTGCCAATGTCTCAAGGATACATAAGAGAGTTCTAAACTGGTGTATATAAAACACGACCCAGTTATGAATCTCCATTTATCGTTTCCTCTGAAGAATTTGCAGTGACTTGGGCCGAAATGGCTGAGAGTCACTGAAGTTTCGAAATATGTTGCGTTAGTGTCTGGCTCTACCACTTGGGGCAAAAGTCTCAATGGCATGTAGACTTTCTTGCACATGAAGAGAGTGAGGATTTCCTTTGCAATGTTTACATTCGAATGTATTATATTTGCACATATTGATCCCATGACAGATTGCAAATAGTTATAGTTACAAAGATTTTCCTTTGCAAAAGATCGCCCTTTGTTCTGTAGACCTATATATGTTTTAGCTACCGCCTTCAATTGCGACCATTGATAATTCTTTTAGGTTTTCGACTTGTGTTGTTGTCTTGCCATCATTAGAAGCTCCCGTTTGCTTAGCTCCAGTTCCTGGCATTGAGAATCTGAGAAACTATAAGAACTCCTCGAGGCGTGGGGGAGATCCGTGTCCGTGCTGCGTTAAATTCACCTTCATAAGTGCGTCAGCGTCAAGTTTCTCCAATGTTAGTTAGATTATCCAACAATCGCGTGCAGTTTGGTTCACAGCATCCAGACCTTGAACCATTTCATTATGTCCGACACCTTGCGTAATATGTATGCATCTGTTTTTTTTGTTGCTGGTAAGCTCATAACTGCTCCAAAAATGAGTTTACTATGCGCTGTGGACGATTTTATCTTTCCTTCAGCCGTTCCCACACAGTGGTGTACGCCGTATCCTAGATAGCCAGGTCTCGCACCAAGTTAGTAGCTTTATCAGCTTTTGGAATCGCCGTACCAGATACAGAATTTAAATCCGCCGCTGTTACGCCACACCAGCTTGGAACTGGTTTTTGTGTTGCCCTGATTTGTTGCGAAGCGCTTGAAGAGCTCTTGGTTTTATTGTAGCAAGCTGAGAATTGCGTCTTCTGGAATGTCATGTCCAGAAGATATACCCAGGTGGTGGAGCACCTCTTTTTCTTGAGAATCGTGTTTGACCTTAAGTATTTTTGATTCATAGATTTTGTTGTCTATCTCCGGATATACATAACCTTCAACGTCCTCGTGAAGAGCTATGCAATTGAATTCCTTACTTAAAAGTATGTATGCCAATGCAACGGCATCGTCAACAAGATGGAAATTTGTGTATATTAGAGATGCGCTTTTACGCTTCGGTATTCGAAGTTGCAATTTGCTCACGAACAGGACGAAAGGGTATATTATAATTATTGAAAAGTAATAGGTAAAACGAAGCGTTTCAGATTTTACAGATATCTTAATTTTGCAACTATTTTTCTACCTATCTGGAGAGTTCATTATCCCAAAAAGATCCCATTATAACACTATGACTTCTACGTGTTTCAAATGATTTATGTAAAAACTGTTTTTTAATTTCCCCCTTTTGTTGCCCTTTTGCAGGTAAACTTGCATTAGACTATAGACAAATTGTTACAATAAGTTATAAAATTAAAATCTTTCTCGTTTAGGGATTGAAATGTATATATAATCTTGACCAGGATAAATAGCCAAGTCGTTAAGCCATGTTCGTCCGTCCGTCTGTCCGTCTCTGTATGAACGCAGAGATCTCAGAAACTATAAGATACAAGGAGCGCAAGCTTATGCCTGCATCCGGCTATCCCCAAAGTCTCCACTCTGAGATTTAAAAAGTTGGGATTAGCATGTTTAATTTTAAAATGTCAGCGCAAGGTGGTACTATTATCCGGCCGCCCACTCTAATGCCCACAAACCTCGGAATACTTTTGCTTCCATATCCAAATGTATGTATGTCTTCGTTTGTTATTTTATTATTTTTTTAATTAAAATCAATTGATTTACCGAAGATTTTTAAAATCGGAACATTATTTTGCGATTTATTGAAAGTGTAGGTTATAAGGCCTCACATGTGCAGTGACGTCAACATTAGTTAGTAGACATGCTTTTTCCGTTAGCAAAAGTTGAAATTCAGAAAGTATAATCTGAAGATGCCAGTGCATCTTAAAATGGTACTACTATCCGGCTACACCCCACCCATACGCCCACAAGGCTCAAAAGACGGTTTTCGGATTTTCTAGAAAAGCTGATATCTCGGTAACTGTAAGAGATAGAAGGTTTTTATGATGCTCCCACTGCGAATTGTTTTTTTCCGATCAAGCCACGCCCACTCTAACGCCCACAAAACCCGAAAAACCAAAAATGCAAAAATCTCAAAAAATACAAGAGCTGCAAGATTTTGCTTAGGAACACGTATTTAAGAGATGCCACTGCAACTTGCCACGAGGTTTCATCCGGCCACGCCCTCTCTAACGCCCACAAACCGAGGAAAACTGTAGCGTCTATAATATTATTATGAATGTCTTCTTTTGACCTTGTATAACTTATTTCTGTTAATATCTATCGATTTACCGAAGATTTTTTAAATCGGAACATTATTTCGCTATTTATAAAGAAATTAAGGTTATAAGGCCTCACACGGGCAGTGACGTCACTATAAGCATACTCAACATGCTTCCTCTGACAATGGGTGGCGCCTCGTGAATTTCCACTAGCAAAATAATATTTTAAAATTTTGTAAAACAGTAACGGGTATCTTATAGTCGCGGCACTCAACTATAGCGTTTCCTCTTGTTTTTTCTGTTTGTTTTTGAATGAATCTAATAATTATTCGATTACATAAGAACTGGAATACAGCCCGCATCATAAATATGAATTTTATACCAGTTGGATTTAAAACAAGAAAAATTGCTTTAGGGGAGTGCCTACTATAAGATAACCTTTGTCCCTGTGTTCAATTTTAGATTATATTCTTATAAATAAAGCTATTTTTATAGCCATAATTCGTAGTATATATTTTTAAAAATTATTAAAACTTAGCATGCATTTAACATTTAGCTTGAAAATTCTGGTAATAAGTGCGTTATGCGAGTTAGTTTACTCTGACACTAAAAAAAGGCAAGAAGTTTGAATGTTAAAGTTGTTAAAGCTTAATAATGAATATTATGCAAAAATTAACATTGACATTTTCATAAATATGAAGTGTGCTTTTTCTAATATGGTTTTCTGATTAATTACAATAATTCAATTCATTTTTTTAGGGTTTGGAGATTCGATATACTGAGCTGGAGCCAATACTTACGACTTTATCAAAACCTTATGCTGAAGCTATTGTTCAAAGGGTAAAGGCTTTAAATCAAACAATTCAGGGACGCTCGAAAACTCGACCAAAACGGAAGCCTGATATTAGAGATGTATTTCGGGATTTTGATGTAAGTATAATAAATGTGTAAAATTATTCATAGATTTGATAGCTTATCTTAACTTATGTATGTTTATTTTTATATAAACACTCGTAAACAGCGTTGGAAAAGCTAAGATACTCCAGTAGTATATAGTTTTGCTATTGCTATCGCTCTCACTATGACGAGCTCTGCTCGGAGCTTTAACAAGTTATGGCAATAGCAGAAAACTGTCATTAAGAAGATTGTCATATTTTAGGCGCTTATTGTGAATTGTGCCATCTGCTAAGATACCTTCTTACTTTAATGCTATCATTATCAAAAAATAGCTTAAAATATTGATTGTCAGGAATGTTAAATGCTAAATGCAAAAGGTGATCATCAACGGGACTTTTTATGATGCCACCATCATTCGGTCATTTAGTATTTAAAATAATGTACTAAGTAAATAATAATTATAATTAAAAAACAAGAAGAAACGCTATAGTCGAGTGCCACGACTATAAGATACTGCTACTGTTTTAAACAATTTTAAAATATTCAGTGGAAATTCATAAAGCGCAACCTATTGTCAGAGAAAGCATGTTGAGTAATTGATAGTGACGTCACTGTCAATGTGACGCCTTATAATCTACATTTTTTCATAAATAGCAAAATAATGTTCCGATTTGAAAAATCTTTGATAAAGCGATAATATTGACAAAAATGTGTTATACAAGGTCAAACGAAGATATACACTATAATATTATGGACGCCAAAGTTTTTCGGGCGTGGTCCGATAAAAATTCGTGGAAAGTGGCAATTCTTAAATATGTACGATTCATGTAAAATTATTCGGTCAATGCTCAATGACCTGCTCATCCAAAACAGTTGAAGACACCCGAAACACTCATTCCGAAACATGAGTGTTTCGCTCACTCCTTATTTTCTTTTTTTTGCTTTCAGTGTTTACCCAAAAAACTGTGCAATAGAATCGAGTGAAAAGAAGGAATGTTTAAAGCTAAATTCAAAATCTGATCATCAACGGGACTTTTTATGATGTCAGCAGTCAATTGGCTTTTCCATTCTGCGTCTATCTCATTTCCCTATGAGGCATATCCGGCAGGCTTCCTTCTATAAATTTCTAAAAGCATCCATTCTATCCTCCGGCTTTTAATTTTTGTTAAATTACCGATATATCGCAATGTTGCTGTGAATAAAAGTCCAATCTCTAGTTTAACTTATGCCTGGTCACACTGATTCTCTTGTGAATTTTTTCATAGAAACTATCGATGGGAAAACTAACTAAACTAAACTAATCTCTAGTTTAACTTATGCCTGGTCAAACTGAATCTCTTCTGAATTTCTTCATAGAGCTGGAAAACTATCGATGGTGACGCAATTTGATATTGTCGATGGTTTCGGATCGATACTATCGATACCAAAAAAAAAAGTTCGCTTCCGGCAAATATTCGTGCGAGCAAAAAAAAAGGCCGGCAAATATTTTCGTGCGACCAAATATGCAAATAAGATGACCATCGATAGTGAGAAGTGACACCCGAAACACTCAGATCAGTTGAAGACACCCGAATCACTCATCCCGAAACATGGGTGTTTCAGACACTCCCTTCATTTGCTATAAGTGTTTTGGGTGTCTGTGCAATACAATCATGTGCATAGGATTAAGTGGGTGACAAAAAAGCAAATACACAAAACACTCAAAGCGATCTATGCACTCGGGTGTGTTACTCTTTTCATGCTGAAAAGAACACTCGAAATGTATAAGTGTGATTCGGGTGCCGAAAAAAGACACCCTTGACGATCTCTGGTGTATATCATTAAGAGGGACAGCAGTGGAAACGTGCAGCCTTGACTGCAGTGCTAAATCTTTACTTGCACCAAATGTATGCATGCACGACATACCTGAATAGAAGGCTAACCGATGTTTTCTATATGAAACCGCATCAGGGATACATTGACGTGGTATCACCACATAAAGTAATACGATTGAACTATATCCATAACCATATTTTCAAGTAGAAAGAGAGTGGCATATAAAGTTGAACGAACCTATGCGATATAAGATCCCTTTGTCAGAACGAGCCATGTTTGTACATGATGAATGTAGATGGCTGACTTTGCCTGATACTTATCTACGTTGATGATTTGTTTCTTGCTTGCCGGAAAAAGAAGACATAATTGACATGAAGACAAAGATTACTATAAAGTTCTATAAATTACTATGATTCTGGAAATTAGCAGTAGCTCTACCTTTGCTCTAGCCGCTCCTTTCGTGGATTTTGAAAGTCAAGAAACATTTTCTTCATTTAAAAGCCCACATCGTTTGCTGGTTGTCTCAAACTTTTTAACCGAATGCTTTAATTTAAAAGCAGATATCCCTTCGTTCTTTCCGTTAAAATTCTGCCGTGCAATCATTGTTGTGGCTAATTGTTATGGACTTGAGTTTCATCAACGGTGTGCCAGGGATGCTGATCACCACTCTGTTGATCAGATGTTCGCTCGCTCTGTAATTGACTAAGAATCACTGATTAAATGGATGTATTGGATCGAATAGAACGTTATAATTTTCCAAAGCTAAACCTTTTTGTTGAAAAGTTTGCTTTATTTCAATATTTCCGCATTCACATTTTGTATCTTTTCTAGAATTACCCTTTTACTTGTTAGAACTGAAGGTTCGGACCTATTTATGTTTTTGGTTGGGACAAACAATCTTTCCCTTATCATTATTTTGTCAATTCGTTTTTAGGCGCGTCATCACCTATATATGGTCATCATCTGTATACTGAGTCCTTTCACTTTTTCGTGTTCGTGATCGTGCTTTTTGGTCCGGCCGAATGAAAAATGTTTTAAACTATTTAACAAATATGCAATGTAAATATTTTATTTAATAAATATTTTACCAATTTACAATTTATAAGTTGATTTGGATCCCTTAAAAATTAAATCAAACATTAGTTAGAGCCCAATACCAAGTTTTTAATAAATTTAATTTATTAAAACTCCTCAAACACTAGGGTATAATTAGATATTTATCAAGTTTTTATACCCGCTACTCGTTGAGAAAAGGGTATAATATATTCGTTGAAAAGTATGTAACAGGTAAAAGGAAGCGTTAGGAAGGTATCAACGGGTATCTTATCGTTTTCTCTTGTTTTTATTAATACCTATCGATTTACCAACAGTTTTTTAAATCGGAACAGTATTTCGCTATTTATGAAAAAATTTTAGTTATAAGGCCTCACATGGCTTGTGACATCACTATCAATTACTCAACATGCTTGCTCTGACAATAGGTGGCACTATGGAAATTCCCACTAGGAAAATGAATATTTTAAAATTGTGTAAAACAGTATTGGGTATCTTATAATCGCGGCACTCAACTATATCGTCTCCTCTTGTTTTATACTCGAAATATTGATCAAGATCAATAGCCAAGGTAATTTAGTTGTTTGGGATTTCGAAACTCATTACTGATAATAAATAATTTAGAGACTCACTTGCTTTTACAAAATAGATTCGGTTGACTCTAACGTCTAAAAACTGCACTTAATTTTTTAAAAATAGTACCACAGAAATTTAATACCAGTCGGATAAGGAGAAAATCTTCATATTGACATATGTAAGTACATATATTATCCTCAAAAAGAAATATTTATAACCTGGAAACACTTTTATTCAAAATTCCATCAAGTCAAATTTTTTTTATTTTCGCCAAAAACATCGAAAACATCGATGTCCGTGAACATCAATGGTTCTCCACCTCTAGTCTGTACCTATCGACAATTTCTTAAACAACATTATTTTGTGGTTTATTAAGAAACGTAGATTTGAAGACGTCATTATCAGCTATTAAACATGTAACCAGCATGGGATTACAAATATTTCATATTTTTCAATCACAATTACAATTGACATGGGCAAGACAAGTGGTACCAGCCGACCGTTTCTTAATTATCCTGGTTGGACCGCCTTTGTACTCCCTCCCTAGTGACGACGTCACGATAAATAGAAGTGAACTCTCCGTTTCTCGTATGATGAAACTTTTTTTAACGACTTTCGTATGGAAGTCGAGTAAAGCAACACTTCCTAGAATGAAGGCGGGATTCAATTTGTCAAAAGACACTGCTTTGCCGTTGGCATCTTAGGTAAATACTTGGTCATTGTTGCGATGTAGCACTTCGAATAGGCCAGTGCTTGGATCCAACGGCTGCATGACGGCATTGGTACGAATGAATAATATTTTTATACCGTTACTCGTAGACTAAAAGGGTATACTAGATTCGTTGAAAAGTATGTAACAGATAGAAGGAAGCATTTCCGACCTATAAAGTATATATATTCTTGATCAGGATCAATAGCGAAGTCGATTGAGCCATCTCCGTCTGTCCGTCCGACCGCCCGTTCGTCCGTCCGTATGAACGCTGAGATCTCAGGAACTATAGTAGATACAAAGTTGAAATTAAGCATGAAGATTCTTGAGGTCCCGGGAAAGCGCAAGTTTATTTCAGTATCCTGCCATCTCGGGAACTATTAGAGCTAGAAAGTGGAAATTCAGTATGTATAAACTTTGGATGCCAGCGCATCTTTTAGTGGTACTACTATCTGGCCACACCTACCCATACGCCCACCAAGCTCAAAAGACGGCTTTCGCATTTTTAAGAAAACCTGATATCTCGGTAACTATAAGAGATAGAAAGTTCAGATTAAGCATGTAGGTTTTTATGATGCCCCAAATGCGAATTGTTTTTTTTCATCTAGCCACGCCCACCCTAACGCCCACAAAACCCGAAAAACCAAAAATGGAAAAATCTCGGGAACTAAAAGAGCTAGAAAGTTAGTATTTTAGGGATGCCACTGCAACTTCCCACGACTTCTCATCCGGCCACGCCCACTCTAACGCCCACAAACCGCGAAACACTGTGGCGTCAATAATAATGTTATGAATGCCTTCGTTTGACCTTGTATAACTTATTTCTGTTAATATCTATCGATTTGACAAAGATTTTTTAAATCGGAACATTATTTTGCTATTTATGAAGCAATTTAAGTTATAAGGCCTCACATGGGCAGTGACGTCACTATCAGTTACTGGACATGCTTTCTCCGCAATAGGTGGCGCTTGGGGAATTTCCATTAGCAAAATGAATATTTTAAAATTGTGTAAAACAGTAACAGTAAAAAGTTTGTGCACGATATTTTATTTTATTTTTTAAGTTACAGTTAAGATCAAGAGGTTATTGGAACTATTTTCAACCGTTTTATCAAAACAGGACCGTATAACCTTTTGACGGCCTGTAAAAAACTCTCATATAAAGTGTATAACATTTTGAAGCAGTTTATTTTTATATTTAAAGGAGTCGAGTGAGGGCACACGTTCACGCAGTGCCACACCAGATTCTCTGGATTCCATACAAGTCGATGATGTTTGGGCAAACTGTTCAATGTAAGATCAATTAAAATTACCCCAATTTTTAAGCTAATATTTTTTTTAATAGCTCAAGCTATGTTAGAGTTGTAGAAAGCATTAATGAGACGGGCAGTAAAAGTTGTGAACAAAGAAAAGAAACATTAAAACAGAACCTGCGACGAATACCCAGCTCGCAGCTTAAAAGTTACACTTGTGCAGATATATTTAGAGGGTCGCATGTGCGATGTGATATACCGTTGCATTCGGCGCATGGTGTAGAGTTGCTTGGTTATTCACGGATTGGGACTATACATTTGCCTCGAAACCGATCCGGCTCAGATCCATTTTGCATACTTGGGTAAGTATTTTAAATTTGGTTTATGAGTATATATATAGTTCACACAATTATTTCTTTTCAGAAGAGCGCGTGAAATTTTATTTACAGATTCTCAGAGTGTAAGTAATGCTTCATCAGACGATTCTTGTGTTGAGTGTACAGATGCTTCACAAAAGACAAAAACGAGTCTAAGTCTGTCACAGACCAAAAATCAAAGCTTACGCATTTCCCCTATGTCCTATGATGGCCTTAGCTTTGAAAGCATTTGTCGAGATACCTCTAGTCTTGACTGCGTCGAAGCATTAGATAACTGTGACACATCTTCAAAACTATACACAGATATCAATAATATAAGTGAAGTTGAACTTAAAGGATTAAAGACAATTCTTTGGTTAGAATTAGCTACAATATTTGATCGTAACCAAGTGTCTTTGGATAAAAGAAAGCCCTTTAAACGCCGTCGCAAAGAAGAGGGTAATCTTTTTGGAGTATCTTTAAATGCTCTAATAAGACGGGATCAGCAAGTTACCGGCACTGATTCTACATTAGTTCCATTATTTTTGGAAAACTTGATAGCCGAACTTGTACAACGTGGGTCTAGAGAAGAAGGAATACTACGAATTGGTGGACATAAGCAAAAGGTTATGTTGTTGTACAAAATATTGTTTAACTTATTATGAATATCGTTTATTTGCAGACTGAAATACTTTATAACGAAATAGAATCAACATTTTATAAAAAACCTAAAAATGTAGCCCTGCTTTTGGGCACAGCTACGGTTCATGAACTTGGTGCCCTGCTAAAACGATGGCTGAGGGAACTTCCCCAACCTTTATTTACCAATGAACTTATACAACTCTTGTATCAATGTCACACACTTCCAACAATGGATCAAAAAAATGCATTATCAATTATATGTCAGATGCTTCCCCCTGAAAATAGGAACACATTACGTGCTCTGCTTAGATTTTTAAACTACATCATTGGTCTAGAAGATATAAACAAAATGAATTTGCATAACGTATCTACAATAATTGCTCCATCTTTTTTCCCACCACGTTATTTACACATGAGTGATAAAAACAGCATTGCAGAGCAAGTAAAAGTGGCTGCACAGTGTTGCCTTTTAACCAACGTCTTAATCTTTCTTGGCGAAAAACTCTTTCAGGTACCAAATAATATAATTTTGGAATCCAGAAGTAAGAAAACAAGAACGGTACGTTTTGACTTTTATTTTGAATTCATGTTGAAAATATTGCTTTTATAGGGAAAACGGGCGTCATCGGCAAAGCAATTCAAGTGAGTTCAAGAATACGATGCTAACGGATCGCATCCAACTCGTTACTAATGGAAGCAACAAATTAAAATATTGTAAATATACTTGAAAATGCAGATTTTTGACTATAATATTGTTTTAAGCTATACCTAAGCTGAATTATATTTTAGATATGTATTTACATGATTATATAATTAATACGTCACTATATAATTATTATAGATATGCATATATCTATATATATATTATATATATAATAATAAAAAAAAATCCAGTCAAAAAAGTTTTACCTAAAAAACAGAAATTTGAAATTATTTAAAATCTGCGTGCATTAAGTCTTTTAATAATATTCGTTGTTGTATACACAAATTTTTATGCCAATTTAAAAAACACTTGGGATATATGAAGTTCAGTAGATTTCAAGTGTGTGGGGTAATATTTTGTTATTTTAAAGCGTAGAGCTCATTATATATATGGATTATACCATTTGAAATATCGTAAAGTACCAGAAATATTTTTTTGGAATTTTTTTAATACTCTTATACTTGTTTTTACAAGGAAAAAGCTTTCTGATTTAATATTTTTTTATTTTTCCGGTGATACAAAAAATCGTTGACTTTTGCGCGAACAATTTGATAAAAGCTAATCATAAACATTTTTAATTTCCTAAATAATAGCACATTTCAAAAAAACTTTGATGAGAATTTAACGAAAATTAATTCAATATTAATGTCGGCTGTGTCGCACACAATTGCACTTAATAAACGCTTCGCCAGAATACAACTCTTTACGAAATTCATTAGTCCGTATGACTCCCCTTCATCCCCTTCTAGTCCTTTGTATACAAAGTATGCTCTCTCTCTTATCGTCATCTTGCTTGTACAATTGCCGTATCTATATTTTTCCTTTCAGAGCTCTGTGAGCTTTCGTTATAACTGAGAACTCATAACCTTTGTGGGTCACATAACTAAACTTGTCACATTCCTTATTTCAAAAGAATAAAGACTTATTAATTTTGAGCGTCATTGTTATAGTCATAGTAGGACCTATTAAATTTCCTCGTTCTATAATTCTGCACACATCCAACACTGAGTTCGTTAAAACCTGAAACCTTTTGCACACATAATCTATGTATATTTTAAGAAATCTCATGGCCCAGAACTGCAGAAAAGTAAAGATACTTAAAAATAGGATTGATCAACTCTAAGTTGCTGTTCTCATTTTTTAAAGATTGTACTAACTAACAGAAACAGTCCACGTTAGTTAGTACAATCTTTAAATAATGAGCTGTAGTAGAGATCCATGGATCTACTAAGTGAGAGATGTGTAATGGACCGTAAACCTGCTAGTTAAGAGATGAGTAAAGCACTGTAGATCTAATCAGTGAGAGACGTGTAGAGGTCCGTAGACCTGTTACTTAAGAGATGAGTGAAGATCCGTAAATCTATAAAGTGAGAGATGTGTAGAAGTACGTAGACCTACTAAGAGAGATGTAGAGATCCTTAGATCTACTACCTGAGAGCATCGGCTGGTGCCGATGAGCGACGTTTTCTCAGTAAGACGCTATCAATACCCTAACTATATAATTGACAGTAGTAGTTTTTTACATTACATGCCTTCGCTGTAAATTAAAACGCCATCTCCGGAAAAAAACAACCACGACTGCAGGCCTACTTGTCGATTTTACTAACATGATTCTGTCTCACCTTCCGAACCATGGCAAATATATCGCTTTTTATACCTTTCGCTCTTCCACTTCCCATTATTTTACGTTCTGGCTTACGACTGATATTTTTATAGTTGCACTTTGGCGTGGCCTATAAGATCATTCACCCCTACTACAACCTCTTTTTGCGTTTAATCTCCGGTCCTACATTCCGTAGTCCCATTTATTTATTTCGAGTCGACTTCATTTCAAATATTCTGGACTTCGTTCTTCTTAGCTTGGGGAATATACCCACATGCCCACATACCTTTCTTTATTGTGTAAAGCAAAACAGTTAAGTGTTCCACAAAAATAATTTGATCTTAGTAGCATGAAAAAAAATCTTCCTACCCAAAATTCGTCCAGCTTTTACTTACAGAAAGAGCTACCTCAAAGTTTCGGGATAATGGGATCAGCCTAAAAAATATACCTCCATACTGGACTAATCCGGCAGTCCTAATACTTCCCCAATTGCACCAGTAAAAAGACAAAGAGAAAGCCGCTGTCATTAAGTTAAAGTTAACATTTCATAATGTATAGATGTGTCCCCTTGTATTTGACTAACAAAGGGTCATTGTAAGAGGGGTTTTACCCGCTCTCGTTCTCGCGATCCCACGCATAGAAGCTCCACGCTTCCAGCTTCCAGCACACTGGGACAAGCAGTAAACTTAACATGCCGCCCGCCAATGCTAGACCTAGCATGAGAATCCTTCGCTTGTCCGGTCCATCCTGGTTGTGGGGTAGAACATCTAGTACGGAAAAGTAAACAAGAAGTGTGGGCAAGAAACAAGGTAATTATTAATAAGGGGGGCAAGTGACGGCGCTTAAGAACGAATTTGCAGCGGACCAAGTTTCGACACCGAACGCTTCAACCGGACTTGCTTGGTTTTAAGCGTAACAACCCGGACCAACGTAAATCGGCGGAAATCGGTCGTCCTTGATGATGACGAGTTCGTCAAGCTGGAGTCCTTCAGCCTCGCGGCACCCGACTCCAAGCCTTCCAGAAATGACGTACCATTGACTGCTGTATCAGGAACTGATCCGCGAAGGACTTAGACTGTGCGTGCAAGACTAATCTCCTCGAAGTTTATCGTAGAACTTTTTCATTATATTGTCCGCCCCACGAAGTTGGTCCCGTTGTCACTGCAGAGGTACTGGAACCATCCATCTCTCCGTCACAGAACGCGTGAAGCTGAGCTGACACTATGCATCCAGGGGTATAATGAATCCATCCGTCTATGCTTTAATCGTCGATCCTCACCAACCCGTCCCGAAACGCTCGCCACCGTTCAACCAGGGCGTCAGGAACCTGGTCGTTCCACTCCACCGCCGACTGAGTGCCATCCGCATGCCCTTTCTATGCGATGGTAACCTCCTTTAAGATCAGCTTTTCCACAATGATGACTGGTGCGATGAGACACAGTGAATCGAACAGCCTAGCTATGCTCGATAAAATCATCCGTTTGGTGAACCTAGCTGGAATTTCAAAATTAACCTGAAATTTGAAACAATTCATCCCTAACGCCTTCATAGGATCCGTAGTATCCCAGTTTAAAGGAGTCCGGCTGCACTGATGCTCCGTAGGAATTGAGAGCAAAAAGTCTGGAGTCGTTGCTAGACCATTTCCAACTCCATACACCCGGATTTTATCGTACCCGATACTTGTGTCCGCTTAACACTTGCCTTCTCCAACGTGTGACCTCCAGAAAGAATATCATCCACATATATTTCGCTCATCAACACCTCTTCCGCCTTGGAATATGAACGGCGCTCATACTTCGCCAAATGGTGAATGACCCTGATGGCCGTGAAGGGTGCAGACGCCGTTCCAAAGGTTAGCGTTGACAAGGCGAAAACGCTGGTGGACCCTTCCGCCGCCCGCCATAAAATCAGCTGGTATTGGGCGTCTTCCAGATGATATCAGCTGCAAAAGCGAAACGATATTTTCGATCCTTAACGGCCTCAATCTCGCAGAAACGCTTGAGCAATGCCTTGGGTCCAAGAGCACCCCATGACAGCTTATCTGGGTCGCTTCCCTCACTCCGTCCGCCAGACCAGATAGGATCCACCTAAAGTTAGTGCTCTGAGCTATAGGCTCGCAGGCAGCCCGATCTTGGTGTCCAACAAAATGATTTGCCCCAATAGATCTATACCCAAAATGAGACTGACTCGCTTCGGATCGTGAAGTTTGGATCCGCCAGCTGGAACCCTGTATATGGCCTCAACGCTGAGGCATCATGTTGCGACCCGGGAATACAGGAAGTATCCGAATTGAGGACATAGGGCGGAATCAACATCTACTGAAAAGTCAGGTCCAACATTACTATGGATTTTAACGACGACCGCCCCGAAGACCCATCCCAAAAATAGATGCTCGGGTGCTAGGTCGCTACAGATGCTAGGACTGTACCACCTGCCCGAAACGATGGTTGCCTCGATCCTTGATCGACCAGGGCGGTAATGACAGGGCGCAGTCCGTTGACCGTGTTCCGCACTGGGATACGACCAGTGATTTAGAAGGGCATTCTCGAACACTAGATCCGATGACGTTGCTGAATAGCATCCGTAAGATGTGCCGGGGTTTTGGCCTGTCGTTGGCTGCCTGCGTTGTTGAGATACGTTCTCCCTGTTTGCAGGTGCACTAGGAGTCGGCGCCTCAGGCCGGACTGATGCGGCGTACGCGTCTGCGATTAGCTACAAACAAAACTGGAAAATGCGCAACAAAGCGTGATGAGGCTGCCCAGACACTTGACATCCTCCTTGCAACCTCGATGCTACGTAGTGTAAAAGTCAAACAGTGCTGTGCATTCCCCGTCTCCAAGGCTTGAAAGCGGCGGAATGCAGCCAGAAAAACATTGACCGAAGCTTAACATCGACCAAAGCATTCACTCTGTGTTATCCTTTGTGCAGCCTAGGCAACGCATAGATGGCATTCATGTGGTGTGCGAATAACGAGGCGAGGTTCTTGGTACTTCCTTGATCATCAATCCCAAGCCGACTGAATAGTTCCCTTCCGTGAGTTGCATCTGACGGATGTCAGCTATCGCGATCCCTGGAAAGCGACTCTTTGAGAGAGGCAGCTTCGCACACTACCAGATTGGCGTTGTTGTGGATTTGGCTCGTGAAGGAAACATAATAGCGTGGCCAATCGACACAGGCGCCGAGAACTCCGGAAATGACATCTGAGGCACAAATGTTCAGCCGCACTTCCGCATTGGCGCCCGCAGACACCGGTGGCGGAGGCGCACAAGCCTCTAATCCACGTTTGCCCAAATCCTCCGGAGCATCCGATCCAGCTTTCTTGTTGACCAGTGAAAA